TCATGCAACTTAAAGCGGGGGATATACACAAACCCATGACTGCAGTAAACTGGGAAGGAATCCAAGGAATGCATCTCAATCTTTCCCAAGAACAGTAATGTTATGATCTCATAAATAAATAATTCAAAATGGCATCAACTAGAATCGTCATGAACTGACTGCAAGTCATGTGAATTCTTGAAGTGGGTTAGAATCCAATGCCACTTCTCTAAACGATTAATTCTAGTTCTAGAGCAGAGGATTATTCAGTTACCTCTGCTGTTCAAGGGATGCTCAGTTCTCTCACAGCTATTGGAAGTCTAACTTACCAGTTCTCTAACAGACTTTTTCTGCTAAATCCCTACTGCATATTCTCTTTTGTCCCAGAGGGTATTTCACCCATCAGAGCCTGTGTGGAGGGCTAAGTATTGGCTCCCAAAGATACCTAAGTCCTACCAACCTTCTAGGACCAATCTAGTTAAACTTCTTGAGATGGAGTGAATAATTTGACTATCTGGGAAGGCCCTACGTATCACCAGTTTCCTCAGAAGAGGGAGGGGATGGAGACTTGATTACAGACAGGAGGTAGATGGTAATGGAAGCAGCCACCAGAGATGACTGTCAGAAGGAGGAGCTACAAACTGAGTCTAGCAGGATGGTCCATACATGTAATCCCAGTACCTGGAAGCCTAATGCAGGAAGGTTACCATGCATTTAAGGCCAGCAGGGGCTACAGGGTGAAATCATCTTTAAAAGGAAAAAAGAGTCACAGGCTAACAGATATAGACATCCACTAGAATCTGGAAAAGACTAGAAAAACACATTTTCCTCTGAGAGATCCAAGAGGTTTCAGGTCTTTGATTGATGGGAATGTCTTCTGTACATGTTTTCTTACTGATTAATGAATTACTGTTTAGCTAGTGGCCACACAGGAAGGATAGGCAGGGCTATCAGATGAGGAGAATTCTGAAAGGAGTTGTCATGTGAGCCTGGGAAGAGAGGACGAGAGTCAGGCATTCTCCAGTAAGATAAGACCATGTAGAAATACATAGATTAGTAGTTATGGGCTAATAATTAAGACAGAGCTTGCCAATAAGAAGCACAAGCCATCAGCCAACAGTTTCATAACAAATATCGTATCTGTGTGTTCATACGGGGCAAGGCGGTTGTGGAACTGGGCAGGAAATCTTGTAATACTTGATACCTTGACATTAGCCCAGAAAAATTTTTAGAACCAAGTTGAAACATAATACATTTGTGCCGCTTATTTTTCCTTGGTGCACATATCTGTGTATGCCTGTGTGCTAGTGCCTGGAGAGGTCAGAAGCAGCTTCAGATCTTATAGAGCTGAGATTAAAGGCCTTGTGAGCTGCCCAATGTGGGTGCTGGGAAACAAACCACGGTCCTCTAGAAGGCCAGGGAGCTTTTTTATTTTTTTTAGACAGGTTTTCTCTTTGTAGCTTTGGCTGTCCTAGAACTCAATGCCCATCAGGCTGGCCTCTGCCTCCAGAGTGCTGGGATTAAAGGCATGTACCACCATACCCTGTGCAGGAAGCATTCTTAATCATTCAGCCATCTCTCCAGCCCCACGTTTATGCACTACCCCCCCCCCCCACAGGGTTGCTCTGTGTAACAGTCCTGGCTGTCCTTGAACTCACTCTTTAGACCAGGCTGGCTTCAAACTCATACAGACCTGCCTGCCTCTGCCTTCCGAGTGCTGGAATTAAAGGTCTGTGCTACCTTTGCCCGGCTGCTGTCTGAAGTCATTAAATTTGTGGTAATTTGTTAAGCAGTCATATAAAACTAGTAAGCCTTTTCAAAGCTTAGCAGTAGCCAGCTCTGGTGGTTTGTGAGGAAGGAGGATTAGATTTGAGGCCAGTCTAAGATAAACAGTGAAGTCAGGACAGCCTGGCTTATAGTGTGAGACTGTCTCAAAAACAACAGGACCAGTGAGATTACTCATCTAACAACCTACATTTGATCCCCTGAACCTATGTGGCTGAAGTAGAGGGTGGATTCCCAAGTTGTCCTCTGACCTCCACAATAGCAGTATCATGCCTCTCTCTCACACACACTAAATAAAATATTTAAAAACAGAAAGTTTAGCAGTGATGTGTACATGATCCACTCTATTAACCTAAACTAGCATGAAATGGTCCTATTTTAAAAATATACATGTTCTCCTTTTTTGTTATCAGGTAAATAACTCCACAGAAATCACTTGAGCTGAGGATGTCCCTCGGTTGATAGTGTGCCTAGCATGCAGAAAGCACTCAGTTCAATCCTCAGGAGCATGTAATATGGTCATGGGGTTACACACTTGCAATCCCAACACTCCAGAGTTAGGGAGGTAGGAGGATTCTAAATTCGAAGTCACTGGACTATATGACGAGCTCCAGGCTAGACTGAGTGCCATGAGAACCTGGGTTTTGTTTCGCCCCCTTTGTTTTTGTTTTTAAAGAGACCTTTATTTTCTTCAGCATTAGAGTGGGAAAGCAAAAGCAATGCCTTAAGCTTCATGTGGTAGCACTGGGCTTTAATCCCAGCACTCAGGAGGCAGAGGCAGGATCTCTGAATTCAGGCTTACCCAGTCTACAAAGTTCCAGCTAAAACTACATAGCTTGAGACTGTCTCAAACAACAACAAAAGCAGTGTCTTCAGTTCTATTTGTAATAAATAGAAGTTGTATCTGGGATTGATGGTGAAATCCTAGAATTCTAGCATTTGACAGAACATCAAGTTAGAGGAACACATGGATCAGCCTGAAATGAGATCTCCTGGATAAATGCTGGGGTGGGGGTGGGGAGTGGATATGGGAACATAAAGGATTGGGATGGTCAGGTTGGGGGAGGCGTAAAGGGAGAGCAATCAAAGAGATATGATGGAGGAAGCCATTATGGAGTTAGAGAGAAACTTGGTGTCAGGGAAATTCCCAGGAAACCACAAGAATGGCCCCAACTAAGATTCCTAGCAACAGTAGAGAGAGGGTTCCTACATTGGCCTTCTCCTGTAATCAGATTGGTGACTACCCAAATTGTCATCAGAGCCTTCAGCCAGTAACTGACAGAAGTAGATGCAGAGATCCACAGCCAAGCACTGGGCAAAGCTCCAGGCGTTCAGCTGGAGAGAGGGAGAAGGAATTATATGAGCATGTGGGGGTGGTGTCAAGATCATGATGGGGAAATCCACAGATCGCTGACTCTAGCTCGTGGGAGCTCACAGACTCTAGACTGACAGCTAGGGAGTCTGCAAGCTAGACCCGCTGCATGTGGGTGACAGTTACATAGCTTGGTCTGTTTGTGGGGCCCTAGCAGTGGGACCAGGACCTGCCCCTGGCAAATGAGACGGTTTTTTGGAACCCATTCCCTGTGGTGGGATGCCTAGCTTAGCCTTGATACAGTGGGGAGGAGCTTGGACCTGCCTCAACCTGGCAAGCCATGCTTAGATGACTCCCATGAGAGGCCTTATTCTTTCTGAATGGAGATGGAGGAGTCAATGGGGGGAGGGGGGTTGAAGGGAGGTGGGGTGAGGGGAAGGGAGGAGGAGGGGAAACTGTGGTTGGTATGTAAAACAAATTTTTAAAAAATTAATAAAAGTGGTAGAACATAGTCATGACTTTAAACAAAGACACAATTCCAAAACTGAACTACTGAGAAATTAAACATTCAGCAAGTAATATGGGCTGACTTACTTTTGCCTTATGTTATATAAAATCCAAGGTAAATACTAACCAGGTTGGGCAGTGGTGGCGCACGCCTTTAATCCCAGCACTCAGAGGAAGAGACAGGCGGATCTCTGTGAGTTTGAGGCCAGCCTGGTCTACAGAGTGAGTTCCAGGACAGGCTCCAAAACAATACAGAGAAACCCTGTCTCTAAAAAGCCACAAACAAAACAAAAAACTACAAACCAGACACTTCTTGCTGTGTTCACTAGGTAATAAATACTGTCCTGAACTTGATCGGCTGGTAAGTGGTCCACACAGAGACATCTCACAGTTAGTGTTCCTAGGCTGCATGTTCTTACAGTTCTATCCTGTGCAAATACCATTAAACAAGAAGAAACTGGTATAGTTGACACCAGTAATGTATACTGTAAACCCACTTTTTCATTGGATTATCAGAACACTAAGAAACAATTTGGTACTGATTTTAATGGTGCAACTGAAGCTGAGGTTGACACAAGTAAAATTAGGAACCAAACCCTTAGTCCAGTGAGTTTCTACCAGTTCACCTTACCTGGACAACAATAATTAACTGATTTTCAGGTACACTGTTTTGGTTTTTAACATAATTTCAAATTAGGAAAGAAACAGCAATGTTTGGCTAGTTGTACCATCTTTTTATTTTACATTCATGTAAGCTGAATTACTTTAAGAGTTAACCTAGATGAGACATTTAATATCTAAAAAAATTTTTTTTCAAACGAAGACAAGGATACTGACAGCAACTACTTGGGGTGTTTTTGTTGAGGATTACTTTTGTGTGGGCGCATGTATGACAAAGTCTCCCTAGAAAGCCTTGGCTGGCCTGCAACTCAGAGATCCTCTTGCCGCTGCCTCCCAGTCAGTGCTGGGATCATAGGTGTGCTCTGAGGATAGCTGTGTGGAACAGATGCCACGACACACGGAGGTCACTTCACATAGTAGCTGGCATCACAGCACATAGTGCATTACTTGGCTTCACGTCCCAAGCGAAAATCTGCTTTCTGACAAGGAATAAGGCCAGAGCCAGGAGGTGGATGTGCAATCAGTTCGAGGAAGGGCAGGGATGAGCGAGCAGGAGCTACCTACCCTTCATCGAAAACGGATGCACGGAAAGCGATCAGGTGGCGTGGGCCACACAGCCTGACACTAAAGAGTCCCACTGGGCCTCCAATGCGCGCACGTGCTCCGCCCTCCCGCACCACCCACACCCCTTCACGTTCCCCGCCCAGAGCTTTTCCACGCGCATCCCGCAGGCGGATGCCGGTCTAGAGAGATGCCCGCCCGGGATTGTCACACAGCCCAGCCCAGCAGAAGGTACCTCAGCAGCAAGCCCCACACTGGAGCAGGAGAAAAACCACGCTCTGCCCTCGGCCGGCCGGATCTCCGCCCTCCGCCTCTGATTGGGTAACATCATAGAGGAAGCTGAAGCGGATTGGTCCATAGCAATTGGTCCACAATCGCCGGCGCCAAAGAAGCCGGAGCAGCGCGGCTTCTCTTGCTACCTTCTGATTGGACGAGGGCAGAGAGCCTGCGCATGCGTGACTCAGCCGACCGGGGACCGCCGTACAACACCGCCCCCTAGGTCAGGTTAACGGAAGTGCCTGCGACCCAGCTTCCTGGATGTGTGGCCAATAAACGACGAGAACAACGTGAGTTCCGCCTTTTCGCGCGGATGTGGCTTTGCCGGTTTCTTTAAGATGACGCTGATGCTTCCAGCACTTCCTTCGCTGCCTCAGACTGGAGCAGGAAGTTGTAACGCAGACTAGGGGAGTTACTTATCCTAAGGGTGAGGTAGGGTTTGCTAGACATGAGGTAACCACGTGATCACAAAGCCTTGCGGTGCAGGGCGTTGTGAATGAGCGGTACCCTGATTTCACTCCTGCACGGGTATGACTGAAGGTGACAGGAGCTTTGTCAGGGATAAAACAGTTACTAAATCTGGAAGTAGCTTTGCCTCGGCCCCAGGGGACTCTGGGTTTTATAGTCCATGATCGTCTGGTCCTGTCTCATCCTCGCATTGCTTCGTTGTTGGTTTTTACATTTATTTCGATGCAGGGTCGATGTTCCAACTGAAGTGGAGCCCATGACATCTGCCTCTTCCAGTAGGAGATGAACTCATCCTTGTGCACGGGGAAGCCCAGAATCTAGATTTAGGTGGACCCTGCTCTCTTTTCCATTATTGATGAGCACCTGAGGTATAACATGCATGAGGACACAAAGAAGTGGGTTCTCTTCAGTGTAAACAATTCAGAAAATATGTACTTGGTCAAGCATTAGTGCAAGCCAGCCAGGTAATTTCTGAGGTCTGGAAATACATTCGACATTCCTGCAGTTAACCTGCTGTGTATGTCTACAGGAACCTGCATAGGGGGAACTAACTAGGGAGTACCTTGGTGTCATTAAATAGGGACCCTCCCCTTGAGTCCCCCCTTGGTGAGTTTAGGTTGGTCCCATTTACAGGTATTAGGATTGGAAGTAGAGCTTATTGCTTGATTAGCATAAATTCCAATGAAATATGGGGCTTGAGGTCCTGGTGTAGCCAGGAGTCACTACCTATGTCCAGTTGAGAATGGTTAGGAAACTGATATACTCCTCTCTCATCCCAAACACTGAGGGACTGTTTCTCGGGCCTTTGTCTTTAAGGTTACCAAAGAAATTCCTGGGGAAATTGGAGTTTGGGGGCTTGCCACCTTAGGGGACTTTGTAACCTGGCTTCCTAAGTTTTATCGTTTTGCCAGTAGTGATTTTTAGCTTTTGCTAGGCCCTACCCTTTATGAATATATCACAGATAGGTAGTTATGGTTTCCTTTTAAGACTATGAAGGGATCAGTGTAACCCCAAGAGGACTCAGTTTTGCAGTCATACCAAGCACAGTGGTTTGCAGGGTGGGTGGTGTCAACTGGGTAGGCATAGGACTGGATAGATAGAGACTCTTCTCTTTATTGGTGGACCCACAGCTCTGGGGGCATGCTCCTCCCCAGCAGTGAGGGAACCATCCCCTAGTAGCCTCTGGATGTAATATTTTTACAGAAATCTACCTGCTGGAAGGTAGGTTGGGTCTCAGTGGATAGATTAGCTAAGAGCTTCCTGGTTCTGTTTTTTTGTTTTGTTTTGTTTTTAATTTTTATACCCAAGACTCTGGCTTATGGAGGTTTGGGGACTTTCCCACAGGGACAAAAAAAAAAAAAAAAAAAAAGAAAAAAAACCCACCTGGTAATGTGGTAATGACTGCTACATTCTGTAACCTCCTTCAGCTGGATATGGTGGATTGGTGGAGTGGCCTTCATTGCTGTTCCAGTCCAGATCCTCTTTACCCTTATAAGGTTGCCAGGTTGGAACTTGTGAGCTAACTCAGACATGGGGAAGGGGCACAGCTTCTAACCAGGTCTGTTTCAGGGCTTGTAAGGACTTGGGGAGGGGATGGTGAGTAATTTCTGTGACTCTTAGGAGAGCAAAAGGTAGGAGACTGGACCAATTTTTGCCATCATCAAGGCCATATTTTAAAGTTTTTTTTAAACATTTTTATTTGTTCTGAGCTTTGTGGCTTATCTAATTAATGTTTAATGCCTTTCCCAGATTTGGGGATATTTTGGTTATGAAGGCCAGGCCATTATCAGACACCAGGGATATGGGTAATTCAAACCTATTCTTGGTGATTATTGATGTAGTCTCTGTCTTGGTTGGGGAAGATGTCTTCAAATACCAGGAGGTACTTGTGCCTGATGGCAATAGGTTTGATTTTAGTAAAGTCCAGTCCCTAGTTCTCTCCCGGGTGTTCCTGGGCCTGGACCCCACCCAGGACTTTTTCTCCCTCCTTTGGGGTCTACCTGTGACCAGATGACACACCCGGAAGCAATGTCCTTGAGTAGACTCTAGCTGTGTGTGTGTGTGGGGGTGTAGTATTTGGGCCTAAGGAGCTTAGTAGTTGGGTAGACCTTAGGTGAGTGGCTTGGTGGCACTCCATTACCAGCTGTCTTCCAAGGACTATTGGAAGTTCAGGCATTTTGTCTGGCAGCTTCCACCAAACCTTTTTTTAAAAAATCTTGTTTGGAGCCGGACGTTGGTGGCGCACGCCTTTAATCCCAGCACTCGGGAGGCAGAGGCAGGCGGATCTCTGTGAGTTCAAGGCCAGCCTGGTCTACAAGAGCGAGTTCCAGGACAGTCTCCAAAACAATACAGAGAAACCCTGTCTCGAAAAACCAAAAAAAAAAAATCTTGTTTGGTACTCTCTCACTTGGCGCAGTCAGTCCCCTCTCCTCATATATAGTCTGAGTATTGAGTCAGGTTAGGTTCAGGCGATGTCACCACATCTGGAGGGATTCAAAGGCTGCCTCCTGGGTGGCCAAATCCACTACCCTGTGTTTTGGGCAGATTTCCATTTTGGTGTCCACTAGCCAATTTTTAGGGGCCACTGGCCAATTCTAACAGTGTCAGAATCTCCTCTTTGTTTTTGATCTCCTTGTTGATGGAGGTGAGGAGCCCTCTTTCTCAGTACAGGACCCTATATATGTGAGCCTTGCAAAAGGCATACTGGCTATCAGTGTATATAGTAATGACCTTATTTTTCCTCCAGTGTAGCTCCTGAGTTAGTGTTAGGAGCTTGGCTTGTTGAGCTGTGGTTTCCTCAGTTAAGTGATTGAGCCCAAATAGTCTTATCCTGGATTACCACCAAAGCCCCAACATACCTACTTAATTCTGATAAAGCTGTGTACATAACCTTGTCTGCTTCCTGCAGTGGGGCTCTGGTCAGATCAGTCCTGTCTGACAGATTAAAGCAGGTACAGTATTTCAAGGCAGTTGTGCAGAGGTTCTGCAGGGCCATTCATTATCTGGTAACAGATTCACAGAATTGAGGGCAGATATTATATAGAACCAGGTATGGGGCCTGGTCGAGGAGCAGTGTTTGGTAAGGGATTACTGGGTATCTGACATCTATCTTTCTGAAGTGTCCTATAGGAGGACCTGTTCTAGGGTTTTTATTACTGTGAAGAGACACCATAACCACAGCAACCCTTATAAAAGAAGACATTTAGTTGGTGCTGGCCTACAGTTCAGAAGTTTAACCCATCATCGTCATGGTAGGAAGCATGGCAGCATGCAGGTAGACATGTTGATAGAGAAGGAGCTGAGAGTTCTCTATCTAAATCCTCAGGTATCAGGAAGTGACACTGGGCCTGACTTGAGCATCTGAAAGCTCAAAGCCCACCCCCAGTGACACACTTCCTCCAATGAGGCCGCACCTCCTCCAAAAGGCCACGCCTCCTGATAGTGTCCCTCACTATAGGTCATTTTCATTCAAACCATCACAGAGCCTCAACTGAATGTAGAGAGTGAGGAATAGTTCCTGCCCCAGAAAAGTGGTTTAGGCTATATCCAGGATACAAGAGGCCACCAAGACTGAGTGAGGATTCCCTTTGCAATTACCTAGGCTTCATCCATGCATAGATGGAAGGATTTGGTGATGTCTGGGAGAGCCAGACTTAGACTTTTCTTTAGGACTTTAAAAACTGTCTTTTCTTGAGTCTTCATTGTTGCAGACACAGAGTGAGACCATGTCTCAAAATAACAACAAAAATAAAACACCAAATAAAGTAAAATAATTGAAAACAAAAAGTCAAGCCAGGGGCCGGGTGTTGGTGGCGCACGCCTTTAATCCCAGCACTCGGGAGGCAGAGGCAGGTGGATCTCTGTGAGTTCGAGGCCAGCCTGGTCTACAGAGCGAGTTCCAGGACAGCCTCCAAAACAATACAGAGAAACCCTGTCTCGAAAAAAAAAAAAGTCAAGCAAGACCAATGTCAGGAGGAGGAAACATACAGTGTTCTGTCTGCATGTATGTCTTCAGGCCAGAAGAAGGCATCAAACCTCATTACAAATGGCTGTGGGCCAACAAATGGTTGCTGGGAATTGAACTCAGGACCTCATGAAGACCAGCTAGTGTTCTTAACCACTGAGCCATCTGTCCAGCACAAAGATGGAATTTTGAATACCACTTTTAGCCTTTCAAAAGATACATTAGAGCGTTTTCCCAGCCCTTAATGAGTCATGAACATCTGTGAACCCTTTTAGGAATGTTTTTGTGTCTAGCAATTATAAAGACCAATTTATGAATACTAAAAACTCATTATGTGAAAATTTTCACTAGTGTTAATTCTTTTACTTATTATGTGTCTTACTTAGGTTTCCCTTGCTGTGATAGTGGCCATCATTGAGGGAGCCCAGGGCAGGACAGTCCATCACTAAGGGTAGGGAGGGCAGGACAGTTCTTCACTGAGGGAAGCCAGGGCAGATACATGCAGTCAGGAACTGAAGCAGGAGTGCTGCTTACTAATTGCTTTCCATGACTTGTTTAGTCCATTTTCATCTCCCACCCAGGGCCACACCACCAACAGTAGGCTAGGCCCTTCTCTATCGATATAGCAATCAAGAAAATGCCCCCACAGA